ACACACTTAAAATTGCTTGTTCCCTAAGGCCATCCTAACAAAAAGACTGGTGGCAATTTGGGATTCAGCAAGGCATGGTGTGCTCATGGAGCTCCTGCTGTAGTCTCAACTCTGCCTATCCTGTGCCTACTTGATTCCCTTTGCCAGCTTAAGCCTCTTGTCAGCCCCTTGTCTCAGCACAGACGTGCTAGACCTGGCTTGGGAGAGCCCGTTGTTTCTACCAATTTAGATCCCTTCATAAGAATGGGGTCCTTGATCCGGGCATGGTGGTGCACACCTTTAATACCAGCAACTGGGAAGCAGAGGCAGGAGGATCTCTACGAGTTCAAGGCCAGCCTGGTCTATAGTGAGTTCCAGGGCAGCTGGGGCTACAAGGAGACCCTGTCTCCAAAAGACCCCCCCCCCAAAAAAAAAGAATGGGCTCTTTGGGGGAAGGTTGTGGTGGCCTGGACAGTTCCTCATTCCAAAGGAAGCCTGGTGGAGATCCACCTGCCTCTTCCTCCTGAATGCTGGAATTAAAGGTGTGCAACACTATACCTAGCCCTTAATAAAGTAATCTTAATGAAGTAATCCTTCAACATTCTTAGTGAGCATTTATACATATAAAAATATAGCTTATGCCGGGCATGGTGGCACACACCTGTAGTCCCAGCACTTGGGAGGCAGAGGCAGGCAGAGCTCTGTGAGTTCAAGGACAGCCTGGTCTACATAGTGAGTTCCAGGACAGCTGGGGCTACAGGGAGACCCTGCTTCAAAAAGACGAAATATATATATATATAGAGAGAGAGAGAGAGAGAGAGCGAGAGAGAGAGAGAGAGCTATGTTCCACCAAAAGCCAAAGAATGTCATCCAGAACCTCATAACAGTAGTATTGAATTAGAAAGTAGGGATTACAGCACTTTCCTGACTGCCTCCTTTGATTTTCGTAACAGTCATGTGAGGGAGTCTTGACACCTGCCCCCTTGAGAAATGTCCTTCAGAGTAAAAGGCATTTACCTACTGTGAGGGATTGCTTCAGAGGAGGACACCAGGGCACCTGGACTTGTCTTCATAGCCTTCATGTTCTGCCCTTCAGGCATCTGCGGAACTCAAATCACGCAGGAGCTTTCGTGATAGTGACTGAAGAAGCCATAGCCAAGGGTATCCGGAGGATTGTTGCTGTCACAGGTGCTGAAGCCCAGAAGGTAAGCAGGTCAGGCTGGCACCAAATCCATAGAACAAACAGTTCTGTGGCTGCTGTAGTCAGGATGAAAGTATAGGCAGTGCTGTACCCCCATGTGCACCAGTACCCCTGCCTGGTAGAAGAAAGCCACCACCACACAGGATCACCTAGCTGTCCTGTTTAATCTTTTAAATTTGGGGGCAGTGAGATCACTTAGTGGATAACGGTGCTTGCCTGGCAAGCCTGATGACCTGGGTTCAATCCCTAGAATCCATGTAATGGTGGAAGGAGAAAATGGACTCCATAATCTGACCTCCACATACACGTTGTCCACTGTGTACTCACATACATGATATATACTCACACAATAAGAATCAAGTAAAAATTTAAAAATACATGTCTCAGGGGCTGGAAAGATTGCTCAGCAGTTAAGAATACTGGCTGCTTTTGCAGAGGACCTAGGCTTGGTTCCCAGCACCCACGTGGCAACTAACAACAGTCTATAACTCCAATTCCAGGAGACCTGACACCCTCTTCTGGTCTCTGCAAGCATTGCATGCGTGCATAAGCATGCTTAGATATATTTAGGCAAAACACTCATATAAATACAAATTAAAATGAAAATTTCTTTTAATTATTTATAATATATATAAAATAGCATCAAGGGGGAAAAAATTAGGTAAATTCTGCCTCCTACTCCCAGCATCTGTGAGAATGTAAGCCAGAGCAGCTGCTGATGCCCTTCCCTTCTCTACGTATGCCAAGGGGATGTGTACCTAGTGTGAGGTGCGTGGCATAGAGGGACATGGCTGTAAGGGTGTGACTATAGCTTGTGCTGGATCCTGAGGGACAGTCATTTCACTGGGTGAAAGGGCTTCTGATTTGAGTAATTGCTCACCGTTGAACCTGAGTTAAGAGTGCTGGCTAGATATGTGAGGCAGGAGCAGTACTCTGAGGTGGGAAATTGCTAGTACTTGCTTCCTGAAGGCAAGAAACTCTTGATGTTTACAGCTCTGATTGTCCCCCTCCTAGGCTCTCAGGAAGGCAGAGAGCTTGAAGAAATCTCTCTCTGCAATGGAGGCCAAAGTGAAGGCCCAGACCGCACCCAACAAGGATGTGCAGAGGGAGATCGCGGACCTTGGTGAGGTAGGGATGAGCCTTCCTTCTTAGGGCCTGCTCATTCCTTAGTAAGCATGAGGAGTAAGACCATCCCTGTGCTTGAAATTTTGTTTGGGAAGGTTTTGTTTTGAAAGTTGGGGTCTTAGGCCAGGTGTGGTGGGGCATGCCTTTAATCCCAGTACTCCAGAGGCAGAGGCAGGTGGATCTCTCTGAGTTCAAGGCCAGCCTGGTCTACATAGCAAGTTCCAGGCTAGATGGGACTACAGGGTGACCCTGTCTCAAAAAGGCCAAAAACAAACAAACAGAAAAGATAGGGTCTCATTCTGTAGCCCAGAATAGCATGGAACACACAGTGTAGCCTAGGATGGCTTCAGATTTGGATCTGTTTTCTAGCCTCAGCCTTCTGTCTGTAGGCATGAACCAATACCCTGGAGCTTTTATTTGAGAAAATATCCCACAAAACAGCCCTGGCTGTCCTTGAACTCTGTAGCCCAGTGACTGGTGTTTCTTGGTATGTTGGGCTTCCAGTGTTCATAGCCTGGTAATCACCAGGTCTTACATGGGAGCTGAGCCTCTTGATAATGCCCTTCTCTCACCAGCCCTGCTTGAGACTGCTGTTGCAGGTACTACAGTGACTAGTTTCAAAGCCATCAGATACCTTTGTGTTTTTCTCTCTTTTCCCAGATACTAGCCTTGGAAGACTTTGATTCAAAGACAGAAGGGTAGGGTGGAATGGGCTGGAATCTCACCCTACCTCCTTAAAGCCCAGACTCAGGTGCCCATCTGGTTCTGGTTCCAGGCCCTGGCCACTGCAGTCATCCCCCAGTGGCAGAAGGATGAACAACGGGAGACACTGAAATCCCTGAAGAAGGTCATGGATGACCTAGACCGAGCCAGCAAGGCTGATGTGCAGAAGCGAGTGAGTCCTGGCTGTGTTGGCAGCTGGAAGAGGTTTTCTTGGGCACAGGCTGGCAGGACAGCTACCTGGGTTTCCAGTGTGGCCCCTTGGCCTGAGCCTCTCTCCTGGACTTCTTGCAGGTATTAGAGAAGACAAAACAGCTCATCGACAGTAACCCCAACCAGCCTCTGGTCATCCTGGAGATGGAGAGCGGCGCCTCAGCCAAGGCAACCAGGGGCTGGGCCAGGCCTGTCCACTGAATCCATCTGTTCCCTCCAAGCCTTGTCAGCCCTGTAGTGACTCTGAGCCGTACTGTCCCCTGAGGGCCCACTGCCTAGAATTGAGTTAGGCTGAGCCATGGAAGAATCTAGTGACCCAAGGAAGAAGCAGATCCTTGGGGGATGGAAGGCAGACTCAGAGCCTGAGTGTGGGCAGGGTCCTGCCAGCAGTTTCTTCTGTGGGATCCTGGGGACATCATCTGCACTTGAAAGGGAGTGGGGTGGTGCTCTGAGGGCTGAGCTCCACAAACTTCCTTGTGGACAGCAAGGCTCTATGCCTTAGAGCTGTCCTGACACCAAGTTCTCCCCTCAGGCCCTAAATGAAGCCTTGAAGCTTTTCAAGACACATTCACCTCAGACTTCTGCGATGCTGTTCACAGTGGATAATGAGGCTGGCAAGATCACATGCTTGTGTCAAGTTCCCCAGGTCAGAACTGTGTGCACACTCATTCCAAAGCCTACAAACCCCAGGGCCAGAAGAAGCACTGACTGTAGCTTCTCAGACAGCAGCTATTCCACAGTGTTTACCAAGATTGTGTTTGTGTGTGTGCGGCCCTCATGAGAAGTTGCTGATCCGTTCATCCGCTTGTCACCTTCAGTACCTCTTACCCTCAAGCCACCTTGTTGGTGAATGTAGTAACTGTACTAGCTGATGCCTGGCTTTGCTGTTTGTCCTCATCTTGGCAGTGGCCCTGGCTGTTCCCCAGTCTCTGCCTCTGGTAGTGTCACCCTGGAAAGGAGCAGGTGTCGGTGGCTCCCCCTTTGTTGTGTCCCTCCATTCCTCCTTCAACCACATCTTCTATTCTGACTCCCACTTCCCCTTCCTATCTTGCAGAATGCAGCCAACCAAGGCCTAAAAGCCAGCGAGTGGGTCCAGCAGGTGTCGGGCCTCATGGACGGCAAAGGTGGAGGCAAAGATGTGTCCGCCCAGGCCACAGGCAAGAATGTGGGCTGCCTGCAGGAAGCACTGCAGCTGGCCACGTCCTTTGCCCAGCTCCGCCTGGGAGATGTGAAGAACTGAGGGGAGGGAGGCCCTCACTGGGAAGCACTTACTTCCCTGTCACCAGATGTGTGAGGATGCATGAGCTCAGCCAGGAGCTTTCCATCTAACACAAGGACATTTGAATTTGAGTCTTGGGACCTTTAAGCAGCCCTATCCATCCTAATCCAGCAGTAACTGGAAGAACCTGGAGCTGTCCTGTGATTCATTGGCCCTTTCCATTACTGCTCTGAGCCACACATGTCAGCACCATCTGTTTAGAGCCATGACCCCTGGATTGCTATTTAACATCCTCATGCTCATGTCTAGATAAGGTCTTTCTGCCGGCCTGAGGCTTCTAGGTCTGCAAGTAGGAAGCCTTTTTGCTGCAGAAAATAAAAAGGACCATGTGCAATACTTGATGATGGCATACATTCTACTCTTTCTCCTGAGGTGGACCCTGGCTCCCTGCTTGCAGAATACAGGCTTTGGTTCCAGCTAGTTTCTGATTGCACTCCAGAGTCTATCCTGAGACCCTTGAACTTTGGGAATGGTCTCTGGGGTAGCAGAGCTGGAGGCAAAATAGATGGGGTGAAATGAAGAGATACATTTAGTAGAAGAAAAAATGTTCAGCTGAGTTCTTTCAGAGAAGCATTTTTCTCAGCCTCTTGGGACAACCCCTCAATGTCTGGGGGCCCACGGCCCTCCTCTGCCTCCCTTTCAAGCTGCTGGTATGAGGTTAGGCAACTAACTTAGGCAGTACTGAGGGTGCAGGTGTCTCCCAACAACTGCCCCAGACTTGCTTCCTTAACCCAAAATAGGTTTAGGACCCCAGCCTGGCCCTGAATACAGTTTGTCCAGGTCTATAAACAGCAGGGTTTGGAAGCAGCAGTGTGCAGGAGGTAAAGGTACTGCCTGCTTGTGCCAGTTCCTAAGTGGAGCAGGCTGGCCTTAGGGCTTGAGGTCACTCCTGGTCCTGCTGATAGGGTGGAGAAGAGAGCAGAGCTAGGTGGAAGGGTGTGACCTGAGGGTCTTGAAGAGCAAGGTGCCTCATGAGGAATGTTAGGAGTAGGAAGACTTGGGGGAGGGTCTTTTTGAGACAGGGTCTCCCTGTAGCCACAGCTGTCCCGGAACTCGCTAAATAAACCAGGCTGGCCTCAAACTTCCAGAGATCCACCTGCCTCTGCCTCCCGAGTGCTGGAACTACAGGCACATGTCACCATGTCTGGCAGGAATAGAAAGATTTTATAGCCCAGGATAGAAAGAGGTATTCCACCCACTCTTTGAACAAGTGTTGAAGCCAGTCAGGGCACTGGGTACAGGACTAAACAAAAAGCCCTCACCTTCAAGGGCAAGATCTCGGAGAAAAGTCTCGGTACAGATTTAAATGACAACAAGTCAGTGGGGCCAGCTCAGCTTCCACTTTAGGGTCCGCTGGGTCCAGCTGTACCTCGCTGTGTTTCCTCCACGCCGCCAGGGGGCAGTGCGACCTCCTGCCGCTCTCCCGATAGCCTTCGCGCGAGCGCGCATCTTAAGCGGGCGTGAGAGCAGGAGCTCCGCGGGCGGAAGCGGTTCCCACGTCGGACGCCACCATGCCGGGAGACCATCGCCGCATCCGCGGACCTGAGGACTCTCAGCCGCCACAGCTCTACGTAGCTGAGAAAGACGAGACGCCCGTCGCCCGCGACCCGACGCGGCTGCGGCCGGTGTACGCGCGCGCCGGGCTGCTGAGCCAGGCCAAGGGCTCGGCCTACCTAGAGGTGGGAGGTACCAAGGTGCTGTGCGCTGTGTCTGGCCCGCGCCAGGCCGAGGGCGGCGAGCGCGGCGGCGGCCCCGCCGGAGCCGGCGGCGTTCCGCCGCGCGCCCTTTTCGGGTCGCCGGCGCCGCGCGCCCCCGGGCGGAGGCGAAGAGCGCGAGTTGGCGCTGGCGCTGCAGGAGGCGCTGGAGCCCGCGGTGCGCCTGGGCCGCTACCCGCGCGCGCTGCTCGAGGTATCCGCGCTGCTGCTGGAGGACGGCGGCTCGGCGCTGGCCGCAGCGCTCACGGCCGCCGCGCTTGCGCTGGCGGACGCGGGAGTGGAGATGTACGACTTGGTGGTGGGCTGTGGCCTGAGCCTCGCGCCGGGGCCCGAGCCCACCTGGCTGCTGGATCCCACGCGGCTGGAGGAGGAGCATGCTTCCGCCGGCCTCACCGTGGCACTCATGCCGGTGCTCAATCAGGTGGCCGGGCTGCTGGGTAGCGGGGAAGGCGGTCAGACTGAGAGCTGGGCGGATGCGGTGCGCCTGGGCCTCGAGGGCTGTCAGCGCCTCTACCCGGTGCTGCAACAGTGTCTGGTGCGGGCTGCACGCCGGAGGGGCGCCGCCGCCCAGCCCTGAAACCACCTGAGCCACGAGATCGCGAGAACCGAGCTGCCACCGTCCGGAGCGGAAAGGACCAAGCTGTTGGCAGTGGATAATGCGCCGAGCTGAGGAACACTTGGGACTGGGGAGTTGCGCGCATACCACCAGTGCACCTCACAGCCGTGTGGAAAGGCTTTTTGCAAACTCTTCCATTAAGGGGGCTTTGCTACTTGAGCTACTTGAGCATCCAGCTCTGACTCGATTGGAGAAATTCCCTAAAAACAGCCTTATCACCTAGATGGAAAGGACTATGCTGGATTTACCTGGTAAATGAGACTTGAAGTTACAGTCTTGTAAGGAATGGACCCTGTGCAGGCCGGCCTAGGACTCCCGACGTAGAACACCTGGGCTACCTACTGAGAGTATGGACAAGGCTCTGCCTTCTCACTACTGAAGCTAAAACATAAAATCCTTTTTATACCTGGAAAAAAAAAAACTTCTGTTGTGGTTTTTCTTGGTTTTAGGGGTTTTTTTTGTTTGGTCTTTTTTTGTTGTTACACTTGTATAGTGTGTGTGTGTGTGTGTGTGAAGGCACTTACGTTGGAGGTCAGAGGACAACTTGCAGGAGTTGGTTCTCTTTCCACCATGCAGGTCCTGAGACTTAACTCGAACTGTTGTCAGGCGCAGCGGTGGGTGCCCTTTACCTGCTGAGCTTTCTTACTTGCCCATGATTTAAAGAACTGTGGTGGTTGCATGCCTTTAATCCCAGCGCTCAGGAGGCAGAGGCAGGTGGATTGCTGAGTTCGAGGCTAGCCTGGTCCACATAGTGAGTTCCAGGCCAGCTGGGGCTATAAGGAGACCCTGTCTCAAAAATACCAAAAAAAAAAAAAGTGCTCTAATGGGCAGTATGTTCTTGACCCTGTATGCCAAGGGTTTGGGTCAGCATTGCCCTAAACGTTCCTGCCCATTAGCTCATTGTAAGAAGAGGCAGGCTATTTTACTGAAGCAGCTGCAGTGCTTTGGAGGAGAAAATGGGTGTCTAACCACACACACCAGTAGAGTCTAGTGCAGCTGCTGAGATGGCAAGACTGGTGGGGAGGGTTAAGTGACTTCAGTAGAACTGAGTGCACCCCCATCCTCTCCCTTGGCTTAGTAAGGAGGAAGACCATGTCTTGGGGGTGGGTAGCTGGAAAGGGTTCTCTGGGTGGAAGCTGAATCCCAGCCTTTCTTGGCCAGTATAGCAACACAGCTAGAGGCTTCCACTGCTGGTGGGAAGTAGGGTCCTGGGCTAACCACATCATCTGGTGTCTCCTGTCCAGCCTTGGCACCTGGGAGCAAGGCTCAGTGCAACATGGACTGTCAGTAGTGAGCTCCTAAATGCTGGGAAACCAGATGCTGCCTGGCTATTCTGTGAGGGAGAGCTGGCCTAACTGACCAGGCAGGTAAAGTCTTGCCTGTGTGTCTAGCTCCCGAGCCCTGCTGGTCTGCACTCATGATGGGAGAAAGCTCTGTAAGACAGCTGTTGAGTTTAGGTTCCTTTGAGATCTGACTGCTTCTCTTGAAGTTGACCAAGGAAGCCCAGGGAACAGGGGCTCTGGAAGCACAATTAGAACCCCTGAAAGCAGGGAAAGGTCCTAGTTATAGAGCGATGGCCGGCTCAGTGGTTAAGTGTGCCCACTACTCTTGCAGAGTACCTGAGTTTTGTTCCTTTCACTCAGGGCAGCTCACAGCTTCCTGTAGCTCCTGGAAATCTGACCTCAGTCCTCTGCAGGCACCTGCACTCATGCACATACACATAAACATAATTAAAAATAAAATCTTTAAAAAGGGGGCTGACTAGGGCTAGAGATGCTCAGTAGTTAAAAAGACTGTACTACTCTTAGACCCAAATTCAGTTCCTAGCACCCAAATCAGGTAGCTGACTAGGGCTAGAGATGCTCAGTAGTTAAAAAGACTGTACTACTCTTAGACCCAAATTCAGTTCCTAGCACCCAAATCAGGTAGCTCACAACTGCCTTTAACTCCAGCTCCAGGGGATCCATCCAACACCCTCTTCCAGCCTTCATGTGTATCTGAACACACGTAACATGGACATACATAAATAAAAATAATCTTTAAGGACCCCTGACTGGGAAGAAATGCAAATGTTATCTTTTTGATATATTTTTCTAGAGCAAATTCAAAATATATATTCTAGTAAGTGCAAAAAGAAACCAACATAAAAATTATACCCCAATCTTGAAAGGATGGCTTTGTAAGGTGGACACACAACCTTACACCTCAGTGTCACTGTAGGAACACAAATGGGCTTCATGTCTGTGGCTGTAGAAAGCCAGGCCAGCTGCTGCATGGTGCTCCGCACCACCAGGTCTAGATATCAACGGGCATTCTGCCATCAATGAGGGCTGATGGTGCTGTTTGGGTTCAGGATGCTGTCAGTTCCATGAGCTGCTGCTGGGCTGTGTACCCTCCCCACCTGCCCACCCCAAGAGTCACAGAAACAACCTCCAAAGCTAAACCCACAACCATAGGGAGGCTTCCTGGTAGGGCTCACCAACAGGTGCTTCAGTGCTAGAAAGGTTAATTTGGGCTGTATGGGTACAACCAGGGCCTTCAAAAAATATGCAAGCTAAGAAAAGCTATCTAAGAAGTCATATGGAGCTGATCCTGGAAGGGTTCCCACTTGCTACTGGCTGTCCGGGTGGGATGCTTGATTCTTCACCTGTAGAAAACCATAGAGGATGGGAGGCATAGCTGAGGAAAGAGGGCCATCTGTAACATCTAGCCCAGAGGATCTGATGCCCCATTCTGACCTCCACAGGCATTGCACGACACAGGTGCACTTACACACAAGCATAACACACATATACATAAAATAACTATTTTTTAAAAAAATGGCTGTTACCAGTCCAGATTTGGATCATTTGCATCCAGGAGTGTAAGTAAGCCACAGGGAACATGATATAGTACAGCCTCAAGACCCTGAGGCAGCCAGTGGGGTGAGACCAGGAAGAAGGCAGAAATTTGCATTTTAACAAACTTACTAGGCGGTTTTTATGCAAGGGATATGGAACATGTTATATTCCTACAAAGCTCACATCACCTCTTCCTCCTTCTGTCCAGAAGAAAATGGTATTTCAGCCCAGGTCTGACTGACTGACCCAAATGCCCACTGCCTGACTGTAGCCCTTGGTCGAGCTGAGTCAATCAAGTCCAGAATCAAGGGGATTAGAAAGCAGGGTGGGTGGGGCTGTTCTAGGCACTGCTTTGGGGCAGAAGTTGCAAGTCACTCTGTAGCTTACTCCTGCAGGGTCCTCCATAAAACAGTGTCCTGTCCTTGCTCACAGAGAGCCCACAGGGACCAAAATAAACCCAGTGGAGAAGGGAAGGAGAGAAGACCACTTGCTGTCTGCACCTTGTCTGTGTTTTCCTGGGACCTATCTGCCTCTGCACAGGTCATCTGGCCCCTGGGCTCCTGCTGGGACTCAGCATTTCTGCATGAGGAACCTTCACTTCCAGGACCCCTGTTCTCTTCACTGACCTTTGTCCCTGTGCAGAGAGTCAACAGTAAATAGTCAAGTTTGGAGGGGCCCCAGATGACACCATCAGGAATCTAAGATGTCAGAGAAGAAGAGAGGGGATGGGACAAGATGCTGCTTTGACTCCAGATAGCTGAGTGACAAGGGTATCAAGACGACCTTAGAGGTTCTCTTGCCACAGGAGGCACCAGGAGTGGAGGAGAAGGGCAATGCGGGAGAGGGGCCTGCAGTCACAGAAAGCCACCGACAAGAAATCCCCAGTGCCCTGGTATTTTCCAGAGCAGGAAAAATGGGCTCATGAAAGTGGGGCCTGCTCCTACCCACTTTTTTTCCCCACCCCACCCCATCCCTGAAGTACCTGACCTGCATGTTGTTCTCTCCACTGGTCCATGCACTGCAGACACTCCAACAGGCTGTCCACCTGGGCTTTGATCTGACTCAGCTCCCTCCTGATAAAATCCAGTGCAGTTGGGACTGCTAGGAGAGGGGGCAGTGTTGATGCCAGGGACAGAGAGCAGTACTGGGGCCCTTCTCAGCCTGCCCTCACTTCAGAGGTACTCAGCTCCTGTCTAACACTGAAAATGAGGACTATGCCTCCTGACTTACGCTTTATTTGCCCTAGGGACAGGTAACTATTCCTGGAGGACTTGTAGGGGCTGCAGTTGCTCTTGACCCCTCCAATTAGGTGGGTCCTTCGAACTTTAGCAGGCACCTGGTTGATGAGTGCAGAGGTCCTCTTGTTTTTGTTCATCCTAAAGAAACAGGAGAGAGGGAGTCAAACCAACCAGCTCCCCACCCCAACCCCAGGACACAGGTAATAAGACCCACCCACCTGGAGGGAGTGCTATCTCTGTGTAGCTGATAGTTCAGTTCATAGTTACTGCTGAGGAGAGAAATGAGATGGGGGGAGCCAGTTTCTCCCTGTCTCTCCCACACATAGCCCAGGGTGGCCTCAAACTCTATGTAGCTAAGGCTGACCTTGAACTCCTGATCATTATACCTCCTCCTGTAGCCCTTCTTTTGAATGCTAGGCTTCTTCATCAGAATTAAAAAAAAAAAAAAAAAAAAAACCCTCGGGGCTTTTTTATTAGGGAGACCACAGCAGACCAGCTTCCCCCTAGATGGACTCTACCCCTCCCCACTACCAAGTTCCAGGTGGCAATAGGGGACAAGTGCTTGTCCAGCCAGAGTCTGGCCCTCCAAAGGCTGCTCTGCTCTGCTGGAGCCTGGCACCGCTGAGGCTGGAGAATGCAGTCTGGCAAAGGATGAAAGGGAAGAGCTGTCAGAGCCCCACATCACAGTAGGGGTGCGAAGGCTTTAATCCTGAAGTGGGAATTGCCAGGATGCGGAGGCCAGCTGAGCAGGGCCAGCAGGAAGGGTTAAGGCTGCCGCCTAAGCACCTGCTCTTGAGGACCAGCTCCCCCGAAAGGTCCCAGGCTCACAAGGGCGGTTTCACCCCTTCACATATGCGGAGGGGTGGGGTTCTCCCCTTCCCGGGCGTGAAGGGCTTGTGCGCACATAGACCATCAGATGCTGCCAGGGACCCTGCTGGAGAGGGTGAGGAGTTGGGAATGAGGCTGCAAAGTTCGGAAACAGCTGTCTGATACTGTCGCCTACATGCTCAGGCCACCCCACCCCACCCCAGGGCAGAGTAAAGGGCAGGGTGCCGGCCTTCCCTTACAGCCTGCAGGGTCCCCAGACCGCGAGATTTCCGGCCACCCCTGCTTCCTGGCTTTAGGAGGTTTGGGTGGGCGGCTGCGGAAGCGCAGGAGAAAAAGCGAGCAGGCGCAGGTCACCGCGGGGAAGGCGTGCATCCCCCTCCCGCCAAGTGGAGTCCCCGGGGAGGAGAATCGTACCCAGAACCGGAGAAGCCTCAGAGCATCAATGCTGCTTCTGGGCGGCAGGGAACAGTCCTCCGAGCCCTGCATGGTGCCTAGGACCCA